GGATTCATAATCTAACATAAATTTGTATTTGTGGTAGACTTATTTAAATATTAAAATATCCTTGAGGGGGTTGAATACAGCTTTTTTGCCTGTTCTTAGGGGGGAGGGGGGGACTACATCAACCCCCTTAAGGTTTATTCCTTGTGATCTAGGGATATCAGGAGGTTAAATCCTAGAAATAGCCTCTCTGCTTGTAGGGTAAGTGAACATTTGCTATCCCCATACTTGATGGAGTCCTCTTTAGGAAAGGGATAATCTAACAACCTTTGAAAGTGTTCAATCCAAGAACACTAACAATCTTATGGAGATGATGAAGGGATGTTTTCAACAAAAATAGAAAAAGCACAATAACAAAGAGCAAGATTGAAAAGATGGAAAGGGAAGAGATTATTAGAACACCCCACCTTTTTTGAAGCAACAAAGACAAGTACTATGTTGATTTAGCACTTGATGAAGAAACTCTCTAAGATAAGAACTTAAGCTAAGAGTATCCAACTCTCAAGACACAAAATCTAACAAAAACATCTAATTTTATATTTCTCGTGTAGTTTGTACATGGAAGAGGCACTTTTGTTTATAGATGAATAGAAGTGTGCTCAAGAAGCTAAACAAAACTAACCTAGGTGGTAAACACATTTGTTAGTGTTTTTCTGATAGTGTCAATAAAGGCAGCTCATACAAAGTGTAGTAAATCAACTTTTTAGCTCTCCTTGTCAAAACCATTTGGATTTAGTTATATATATCCCTTAAGTAGATATGTTTAAAGATCCCTTTGTAGATATGTTAAGAATGCTCCTAGCCAAGACCTTATTTGTTAAGGTAAGAAGAATACTCAAATTGTTGTGTTCTCTGACAGGATTGGCTGACCCAATAATAGATGTTCCACTTTTGGGTATTACGTTTTTGTTGTGTGTAATTTGATCTTTTAGAAAAATCAATATACAAGACAATGACTTTAGTCACTTGTTAGCTCATATTGCTAAAGCAACTTTTAAAAGAGCTTAAATTTGAAGAAAATTCTCAACTATGCCTTATATGTGACAACCATGCTGCATTACATAATGTCTCTAATCTTGTCTTTCTTGAAAGAACCAAATATATTGAGGTAAATCTCCATTACTTAAGAGAGAAATTGGAGTATAGAGATATTTGTACTAGTGAACAACTGGGTGATATTATCACCAAATCTCTGAGGGGCACTAAAGATCAATCACAAATCACATTTGCTGCAAGTTGAACAAATATGTCTTATATGTTCCAGCTTTAGAGGAAGTATTATAATTACAAAAATTAGAATCATATATTCATAAATACAGAAATATATCATATTTTCATGATTACATATATAAAGATCATATTTTTTTTAGTAAAATTTATTTTTATTCTACTAACATCTTTATTATTAGAGGAACCAAAACTCCTCTATTTGCTATATTGATTTTGTTTTCTCAATATTATTAAATTCCCCATGCTCTCAAATAAACACATGGTTTCAACTTAATGTTTCTTTTTCTTTTTCCATGTAGTTTAACATGTATGTTCCAAATATTTTCTGCTTTTGTGGGCCTGTAGTTTTCATCTGTAAAATAGAAATATATCTGTTTCAGGTGGGGAAGACACAGTGCAGCAACTGCCTCATATGGGCCAAAAGTGACAATGTAGCAAGGGATGTAATTAAACTCTCATCTAATATTACTGTAAGAAGCAGTTTATTTAGCTCTGTTTGCATGTCTTCTCATGTTTTTGATGTTACCATTTTGTATGAAAATCTTCTGCTGTTTTTATGATAGTTTTTCATTAATTTTTTTTTGAAGATTTCAGTCTAAAATGGTAAGTGAACATAAGAACAAAAGATCATAGTTTTGGTTATGTTGGCTTGTGAAAATCTTACTTAGCATTGAAATTATGGCCGTTGCAAGTGATTTAATATAAAATGTGAATGATAATTAATGCTTAATAAAAGATAACGCATCTGAGAGTTGGTGTAAAAGTGGTGCACAAATAACAGAATTCTTTCTTCAAAGCATGGAAATACCCTGGGCTGTCAGATATCTATGCTGATTCATTGCATTTTAAGTCATTATTGGGAAAACGAAGTCATCAGGGCCCTCGAAGCATTCTAATAAGTGATAGATACATTGCAGCTCTAAAGAATACGACTTGTGATTCTTTCAGAGAATGGAAAATTGGATTTTAGATAGGAATAAATAAATATTATTAGAGAAGGGGGAAGATAAGATATAGATTCTCCTAGGATGAACCAAAGAATTGACAGAAAAGAAAAACTGAGCCGTGTCTTCAAAGCCAGACAGTCTTTACTCGTGGCTAAACGAAAAACTCATGCATGACTTCTTCCGTGAACTTTTTATACATACCTTGCAAAAGCTGCCTGCTTTAGTCATGTGGGCTGGTAAAAAAGATCAAACTGCACTAATTTGTGTGGAAGTTGAAATAAACTGAAAAAAGTAGTTTAAAGAACTAAACTGAATTGAAAAACAAATTGAATAAATTGATCTGAACTATTTATGAATTTTATAAACTTTATTCGAAATATTTGAACTAAACTGTTTTTAAAACCAGCTGGACTTTTCTTTTCTCTAAACTGGAGTGCATTTTAAAATATTACATTTTTATTATTCTTAAACCTCATTCTAATTGAATTGAATTGAATTATGTCCATACCAATTCATTACACCTGATAACATTTTAGATAAAAGTACTAATACTCGAAAGCTATTGATTTGTTACTAAATCCAAATTCTGCAGAAAAAATTTCCAATTCTGACATTTTTTTCTCTGTAAAACTCTTTTTAGCATATTTAAGCATGAACTCATAACTAAGACAATTGTCATGAAGTTGAACTACAATTCTATTAGTCAATGACTTCAACTTTTTAAATGAAAAAAATTGTGTATCCCTTTTCATACTTTGTGTTGTTTATCTTGTTTTATTATTTAATATTGTACAACTGAACACACTGAAGCTTTCATGTTACGATTTTTCCAATTTGTGAACTGTCATAAAACAATTTAGTTCAACAGTGCACTGAACTACTATCTAACTGCCATTTTAACTGTTTAGTATTTAAAACTAAACTAACAAAGTGATCAAGTTCAATTTTTATTAAAAACAGTGTAAAGTTTAAGTTTACTTTATTACAGATCTTAGAAGTTTAATTCAATCCAAATACTTTTGCCCACACCTAGTCATCTCAAAACCTGTATAAAATAGCATGACATGAGAAAGTGCTCAGAACTGTGTCTTCGTTAACCAAAAGTACTAGTTTATTATTCTACAAATAACAGGCTGAGGCAGTGTTNTGATGAGGGGCTAAATTAGAAATATTGATTTTTTTGAAAAAGTAATCAGGTTACATATAGAGGTTTTAGTCTGTCCTCATCTGTAAGCACATACATTATAATCCTATTTCTTTCTCTTCATCCCCATTAGGAGAGAAAATAAAAATGAATTTAAGGCTCCACAGAAGATCAGATTTCATCTACATGGTTCCCAATGGTCAATCCAGGTATGCTTCCGCATACTGCTCTTTGGGGTATTGGGGATTGTTCAATTAATTAAAGGGTTTATTTCTCATTGATAATTAATCTATATTGGATTCATAATCTAACATAAATTTGTATTTGTGGTAGACTTATTTAAATATTAAAATATCCTTGAGGGGGCTGAATACAGCTTTTTTGCCTGTTCTTGGGGGGGGGGGGGGGACTACATCAACCCCCTTAAGGTTTATTCCTTGTGATCTAGGGATATCAGGAGGTTAAATCCTAGAAATAGCCTCTCTGCTTGTAGGGTAAGTGAACATTTGCTATCCCCATACTTGATGGAGTCCTCTTTAGGAAAGGGATAATCTAACAACCTTTGAAAGTGTTCAATCCAAGAACACTAACAATCTTATGGAGATGATGAAGGGATGTTTTCAACAAAAATAGAAAAAGCACAATAACAAAGAGCAAGATTGAAAAGATGGAAAGGGAAGAGATTATTAGAACACCCCACCTTTTTTGAAGCAACAAAGACAAGTACTATGTTGATTTAGCACTTGATGAAGAAACTCTCTAAGATAAGAACTTAAGCTAAGAGTATCCAACTCTCAAGACACAAAATCTAACAAAAACATCTAATTTTATATTTCTCGTGTAGTTTGTACATGGAAGAGGCACTTTTGTTTATAGATGATAGAAGTGTGCTCAAGAAGCTAAACAAAACTAACCTAGGTGGTAAACACATTTGTTAGTGTTTTTCTGATAGTGTCAATAAAGGCAGCTCATACAAAGTGTAGTAAATCAACTTTTTAGCTCTCCTTGTCAAAACCATTTGGATTTAGTTATATATATCCCTTAAGTAGATATGTTTAAAGATCCCTTTGTAGATATGTTAAGAATGCTCCTAGCCAAGACCTTATTTGTTAAGGTAAGAAGAATACTCAAATTGTTGTGTTCTCTGACAGGATTGGCTGACCCAATAATAGATGTTCCACTTTGGGGTATTACGTTTTTGTTGTGTGTAATTTGATCTTTTAGAAAAATCAATAAACAAGACAATGACTTTAGTCACTTGTTAGCTCATATTGCTAAAGCAACTTTTAAAAGAGCTTAAATTTGAAGAAAATTCTCAACTATGCCTTATATGTGACAACCATGCTGCATTACATAATGTCTCTAATCCTGTCTTTCTTGAAAGAACCAAATATATTGAGGTAAATCTCCATTACTTAAGAGAGAAATTGGAGTATAGAGATATTTGTACTAGTGAACAACTGGGTGATATTATCACCAAATCTCTGAGGGGCACTAAAGATCAATCACAAATCACATTTGCTGCAAGTTGAACAAATATGTCTTATATGTTTCAGCTTTAGAGGAAGTATTATAATTACAAAAATTAGAATCATATATTCATAAATACAGAAATATATCATATTTTCATGATTACATATATAAAGATCATATTTTTTTTAGTAAAATTTATTTTTATTCTACTAACATCTTTATTATTAGAGGAACCAAAACTCCTCTATTTGCTATATTGATTTTGTTTTCTCAATATTATTAAATTCCCCATGCTCTCAAATAAACACATGGTTTCAACTTAATGTTTCTTTTTCTTTTTCCATGTAGTTTAACATGTATGTTCCAAATATTTTCTGCTTTTGTGGGCCTGTAGTTTTCATCTGTAAAATAGAAATATATCTGTTTCAGGTGGGGAAGACACAGTGCAGCAACTGCCTCATATGGGCCAAAAGTGACAATGTAGCAAGGGATGTAATTAAACTCTCATCAAATATTACTGTAAGAAGCAGTTTATTTAGCTCTGTTTGCATGTCTTCTCATGTTTTTGATGTTACCATTTTGTATGAAAATCTTCTGCTGTTTTTATGATAGTTTTTCATTAATTTTTTTTTGAAGATTTCAGTCTAAAATGGTAAGTGAACATAAGAACAAAAGATCATAGTTTTGGTTATGTTGGCTTGTGAAAATCTTACTTAGCATTGAAATTATGGCCGTTGCAAGTGATTTAATATAAAATGTGAATGATAATTAATGCTTAATAAAAGATAACGCATCTGAGAGTTGGTGTAAAAGTGGTGCACAAATAACAGAATTCTTTCTTCAAAGCATGGAAATACCCTGGGCTGTCAGATATCTATGCTGATTCATTGCATTTTAAGTCATTATTGGGAAAACGAAGTCATCAGGGCCCTCGAAGCATTCTAATAAGTGATAGATACATTGCAGCTCTAAAGAATACGACTTGTGATTCTTTCAGAGAATGGAAAATTGGATTTTAGATAGGAATAAATAAATATTATTAGAGAAGGGGGAAGATAAGATATAGATTCTCCTAGGATGAACCAAAGAATTGACAGAAAAGAAAAACTGAGCCGTGTCTTCAAAGCCAGACAGTCTTTACTCGTGGCTAAACGAAAAACTCATGCATGACTTCTTCCGTGAACTTTTTATACATACCTTGCAAAAGCTGCCTGCTTTAGTCATGTGGGCTGGTAAAAAAGATCAAACTGCACTAATTTGTGTGGAAGTTGAAATAAACTGAAAAAAGTAGTTTAAAGAACTAAACTGAATTGAAAAACAAATTGAATAAATTGATCTGAACTATTTATGAATTTTATAAACTTTATTCGAAATATTTGAACTAAACTGTTTTTAAAACCAGCTGGACTTTTCTTTTCTCTAAACTGGAGTGCATTTTAAAATATTACATTTTTATTATTCTTAAACCTCATTCTAATTGAATTGAATTGAATTATGTCCATACCAATTCATTACACCTGATAACATTTTAGATAAAAGTACTAATACTCGAAAGCTATTGATTTGTTACTAAATCCAAATTCTGCAGAAAAAATTTCCAATTCTGACATTTTTTTCTCTGTAAAACTCTTTTTAGCATATTTAAGCATGAACTCATAACTAAGACAATTGTCATGAAGTTGAACTACAATTCTATTAGTCAATGACTTCAACTTTTTAAATGAAAAAAATTGTGTATCCCTTTTCATACTTTGTGTTGTTTATCTTGTTTTATTATTTAATATTGTACAACTGAACACACTGAAGCTTTCATGTTACGATTTTTCCAATTTGTGAACTGTCATAAAACAATTTAGTTCAACAGTGCACTGAACTACTATCTAACTGCCATTTTAACTGTTTAGTATTTAAAACTAAACTAACAAAGTGATCAAGTTCAATTTTTATTAAAAACAGTGTAAAGTTTAAGTTTACTTTATTACAGATCTTAGAAGTTTAATTCAATCCAAATACTTTTGCCCACACCTAGTCATCTCAAAACCTGTATAAAATAGCATGACATGAGAAAGTGCTCAGAACTGTGTCTTCGTTAACCAAAAGTACTAGTTTATTATTCTACAAATAACAGGCTGAGGCAGTGTTATCATGATTGTGCATATTGGCGGTATTCTTATTGAATATTTCAGTACAAATAAAGACTTACCTTAGTTAAAAAAATGGAGGTCATTCATTCTTGTTTGGAGATAAGGAAGTGGAAAAAAGATTCACGGTAACAGACTGCAAGTATTTGGGGGTTTAGTTGAATATTTTAGCTGTGCCTGATTAACTTTTTGTATAGGTGTATCTATTGATGACATGAAATTATTGTCATCATTACGAAGCTGCCGCAAGCTGGAACTGTATTATAGATGTGTTATGCTTGCTTGAACTTCCATTGAGTGGTGTGTCTGTCTGGGATGATGCAGGTTGGATACATTGTAATGAGAGAATATTCAAGTGGAGTTAGGTCAACTTTGTTGAGAATGAAAGGTGCGGAGGTTGTTGGTGTCTATCATGGATTGATTGATGAAAAGATCGTGAGAGTTCTGCACAGGTATGTTTTTTTATTAAAGAATGCAACTTGCAGCTGGAACACATGTTTTTACCATATTTTGCTTTGTGACGAACAGGAGGAACAAAAAGGTGTATGCTTGGACAGTTGATGATGTAGAATCCATGCGAAGGATGTTGGTGGAACATGTTGATGCTATTATTACGAGCAACCCAACTTCTCTTAAACGCATAATGCAAGATATCAAGCTTCAATGTCTTGAAGAAGGTTTTTCGTTACCACACTAAACAAATTTTCAAGAATTTTAGAGCTTCATTATATGTTGTCATCATTAAAGTACTAATCCTTTCTGTAACATACATTTAACAAGAAACTCAAGTATATTTCTTTTTTTAATGCCTGTTTTTAAAATTTCTAAACGCTACTTTGAATACTTTAAAAATTATAACCTCTTTATGAATATAATTCCGTACTGGAAAAATCTAAACCATACATTAATGCAACTACTTACATATAAAAACCGTGTTAACTACAAACAATATTATTTAAAAAAATAATCATTAACTAATGATTATAAAAGTTCAAATAATATATTCAAATTAGTTATTATTTTAATATTTATAATCTCCATTTAAATATATTAAAATCTATTATCGCAATGTGGTATAAACGAACTTCTCTCATACGGGAGATTTTTTCAAATAAAACAATTAAATGTTCTCATACGGGAGATTTTATTATAGTAACGCAGTGACTAGGGATGGCAAAAATGGCAATAATATGTATTCACATGTATTCATGGATTTGTTGCATACAGTTAGTATGAACATGTAATACATACATGTGGGCAACATATAATTCATTACTTATTTATACAGGTTTGGGTAATACTATCAAATTTTTCCTAGTTAGAATATTTTTCAAGCAATCTCAAGTATTTTGTAAAAAAGACTCTTAATCAAAACAAAAACAAAGATTTTGCTAACAATTTAAAAATAATTAAAGATTATCAAAACTCACTAAATTAAATATATTTGTGTTAAGATAAAAAAAAAATGAAAATAAATAAAAATCAAAATATTAAAAATACTAATTTTATTCTTTAGCAACGAATATCAAATTTGATAAGTTATAGTTGACCTTATAAAATTACTAATTAAAAAGACAATTTTAATATTGTCAAGTTATTAGTAAATAAATTAGATAATGTTAAAGTGATCCTCACTTAAATTGTTCATTCTAATCCATAAGTCATTCAATAACTTATACCCAAATAGTCATTCAATAACTTATACCCAAATAGTCATTCAATAACTCATACCTAAATTATTGACACATCATTCAAAATGATCAACATATAATCTTAATTTATATATTGAATGAACAACGAAATACTCACGTACAATTACAAGGTTAAATGTCACCTCCTACCACTCTTAGGGAGCTTCACACTGGTACACATTATGATGCCAAAACACAATATTACTCCATACCACTCTTATATAGGGAGCTTCACTTGGTAAGTACACCACTTCCCACTACTTTTTGGGAGGCTTCACTGAACAATTCCTACCATTCTCTTAGAGTTTTATTGGGCAAGTATATACTCTCCACCACTCTTTTACAGAGAGCATCACTGGGCAAGTATAAGTTCTACTCTCTACCACTCTTTCAAAAGCTTCATTGAGCGAGTATAAAGGTGTCACTTTCCACCACTATTTCAAAGAGATTCATTAGACTAGTACACCCAAACATCATTCGTAACTTGGCCAAGACACATATATTCATCGCGTAAATATACCAATCCACTCATTCCACCATAATTAACTCAACATGCCCCAAGCTTATTCAAAAATCAACAATCATACATAGGTAAGGATTTCCTTCAATGAATAGAATTCATACACATAAACTAAATAACAATTTTCACATCCAATTTTTTCTTCTACTTAAGTCAAATAGTTCAATACACTCAAAATCCAACATACATGATCCACACAAACATTAAGGTCATTCATCTTACTAACCTTATTCATCAGCTCTTCTCATATTCTCAATTGAATATTTCCAACCAAGCACAATCTCAAATACATCATGTTCATATCAACCATTTCATCGTAGATTTTCATATCACTTTCTTAAGTATATTGCACAACAACTCAACAACATATGTATAAACTGTTCGGGACTTCAAAAAAATAATTTCAGCGTCCACAAAACTCAAAAAATATCTTTTCTTACATTTAAATTAAATGTATTTGAATGAGTAATGCAGTGCAAAAAGAATCAACTCAATTGGATATATGTGGAAAACGTTATGCACCAAACAAATAACAAGGGTCAAGATTATCAACAACCTAAACTACTGAAATATTACATGGAAACTTTCTCTAACTATAGGCCTCAAATTGAAGATATGACCACT